GGGGGGGGGGTGGCGACGAGGTTTTTTCAATGGTGTAGACTGGTGATGGAAAAACCTCGGGATCCTTCTCAACGTGTTTTGCGTCGTAACCCATGGATTCTCGTAGATCTCATCGTCACAATCTGATATTGACAGTCAAGTTGCGTGATTCATCCGTTCACCCCGGTGCCGTCCAGGCTGACATGCTCGCGAAGTCTCAGTTGAGCAGGGCCTTCCCGTCTACAGATGACAATCTAGTCGGAGATTTCGTCCTCTGGGCAACTACTGAGGAGGCGAAGTTTCTTGCTGGCCGGTTTGTTTGTGCGAATTGGGATATGCAAGAACGGCTTTTTCTGCGAGATGATAACCTGTCGAAAAATCGCTATGTGACGACCTTGGCAAAGTAGAAGGCCTTGTTGGTCCGCCTTGTAGTCGTTTTGTTTGCTATTTAGTAGAACTCTGTGTTATTTTCATTTAGCATAGTAATATGAAACAACGCGTACACACTCCAAATTGAATCAATTTCAAGTATTCAAAGGACTGGTATTTCTGAGGACATATTAGATGCCCCTCTGGGCTAATGGTATACCGCACTATTAATATCCTATCTTCCTTTCCCCAACTATCTGAACCTATTAGAGAAGTAAGGTGCGGACATGTACAGTGGATTCCGCAATCCATTTTTGAAGCCGAATCTTAGCAGGTATTGGCGGGGGCGTTGTGACAAACATCTGCCTTTCCACCAGAGACATCAACGGACGTCCATGTCCAGCCAGAGCAACTGCTAGTGCTACCACACTCAATCACGATATCAGTCGCAGAACTATCGACGGTACCGTGAACATTATTTAGGGTGAGACCAGTGATCGGAACATCGGTAGTGGGGTTGTTGGTATATCCTTTGTTGGTGTAGTCCTGGCGAATGGTAATACCTGCACTACTGATACCGGAAAGAATAATACCATCATACGTTACACCCTTGATACTTCCTGTAGCTCCTGCCACTGCCTTGATGCGAACGCCTATAAGTAATATCAGCGTCAGGATCTTGTTGAGAAGTCGATCTTATTTTTCGTACCATTCTGAGAATTAACGACGTGAGAGTTAGAGAAGTGAACCGTGTCTACCACATTATTTGAGCGTCCACCAACGGAACCCACTGAAAGGCCATGTCCTCCCGAACAGTAACCATTGCTGAAAATAATATTCTAAATCATCATAGGTTAGAGATATAAATGCATTTCCGGGGTTATGGAACCGAACGAACTGTTCCAGAGTTGATTGCAACACAATCATCCTGGTTGTACACTATGGCTCCAGTGATAGTGATGTGATCACTGTTTCCAATGTCAAATGCATCAGTGTTGTGGCCGAGGCTTCCAACATCCCCAGCACGGTCATCTACGGTGACACCGCTGATCGTAAGCCCAGAAGAGCCGGAGATACTGAAGCACTGTTCTGGGGTATTTAGGATATTTAAGCCAGTAATCTGAGAGGTACCCGTGAGGCCATGTGCAAAGAAGAATTTTGGCTTAGTGGTGCCACCATTGCTCCCCTGGCCATCCCACCAACGATGACCTTGCCCATCGATCGTATGGCCAGAAGCTCCAGAAACCTGAATGTTCTGACCTGATACGGAAATAAGAGGTCCCGCCCATTGCTGGAAACCGAAGGTGGTGTTTCCTTGAAAAATGACCTGGGAACATATTTCTCATTAGAACACAGAGCGGTAAAAAATAATTGGTTCCTGATATAGTAGTTCCCACGTTCACTTACGTTAGTCCCCGCATTCAGATTGGTGAGGTCCAAAGTCGTTCCCGCCGGAACGAAAACATTGTCCAAAGTGATTGTAGAGCACTTGTTTTTGTTTGCAATAGCAGAAGCAGCTCCTGTATCACCGCTGAAAACACAGGGTGCACGCTCTTGAAGGTTATTGCGTGGATCGGGGGCTCCGAAAATCGGAACCGCCGAGCATAGCAGAAGCACTAGGTAGGAACGAATCCGAGCCATGATGCTAGAAAACTGTGCACTATTTAAAGATCTGTTGTTTTAGGAAATGCTTTGGAGTACGGAAACAAAAAGTCAAGAAGAGTATACACAAAGACTTTATAATCCTTTCATTCTGGCCTGTTCCTGAGTTCCTTATCCTCCATTCTATGCAAAATGGAAGATTTTGATTCACATAGTAAAATGTGTTCATGTCTTGCATGCTACCAATATTTGCACCAGTGAGATAAAGACTGTTGCACTCGGACATTCGACTATTCCACCTATAACTGATCAGGAGGACGAAAGTTGCTGAAGTTGTTGAATTTCGTCTTTATACGTGAACTTAGATGTCGCCTGATAGACTCTCTTCGCCCCCTTGCACTGCGGCTCCGGATCTCCAATGGTGGAATTTTCTTGTTAAGTTTCCAGGGTCGCATTTTATAGCCCTTGGTTCCTCTTTCCTCGGATATGCGCAAGGACCCCGTTCTTGAAACAGAATTTCTATTCGGAAATGTGCAAGAAATCCCGTTCTTGATCCCGTGATTCGGATATGCCCCCTTTCTTGAAACTGGGCTGATTCGTATTCGGATATGCGCAAAGATCCCGTTCATGAAACTGGTTTTGATTCGGATATGCCCAAGGATCTTACACGGATCCAAATCAGCTTGATATCCCTACGGATCCTATACCTAAACCGAACTGATGCCTAATTTTAACGAGTTCTGATACAAGATATTTTGAAGCTTTACACCACAGTACAATAATAAAATACGATAAATTTTTGAAGAAGCGCTACATGAGACATAAGTGTCGGTTTAATCAGATCCCAGAACACGAAGCAAGGATTGGGGAATGGCTAATCCAACATGCCTATATGTCGAAGCCGTAAATACTCTTTGTATTCCTAATCTGAAATTTGATTCCCACGAAGAAGGGGTGCTGGGGGTGAGGCACGTATATAAGACCATGCTCAAAATCTAGCTTCCCCGCACTTACAAGGGATTCAACATGACAGAAGAAGCGGGAGAGTACTAGTAAATCGCTGTGAAGCTGCTAGTCAACGTCGTTGGTCAGATTCGATCACTTAAATAACGAAAGAGCATCGTTGATTCCCATCTCTCCCAGTAACCCCATTAATGAGAGGGCATAACTGTATAGTAGTCTGGGCAGTCTATAGCTCTTGAATACGGTGAACTTTAGATGATGTCGGGTATTTGTAAGGAAAGCGCTCGATGGATGTAGTACGATATTGACTAACACTTAAGGGGCAAGCATGCCTAGGTGCAAGACCCACAATGCATATCACGCAAACAATATACACTAAGGAAAGAATCTATGTACAGTACTTTAGGAATTAAGCAGACACACCTCCCCATGAAGTTCTTTTCGAAACCTTTTCCCACCACAGCTTCAGGTTCGGGCGGTCCTCTAACAGCTGGCCTTGCCCAGCTCGATAGAGCATATCGACCACTGGCATATAGTAAATATCTACCAGGGAAAAGAAGGCGCCTCCCATAAAGGGTTGCGAATCCATGACTTTGCTCAAAGCATCCAATTTTTCTTCAAGACGCTTGACGGCCTCTTGGGTGAGCGCCTCGTCACTTTATATTCCTCTCATTCTGTGGCTTGGATTAGTTAAGGAACATCTCATTTTCGAACCATTTACTGACGGATTGAACATCTTCAGCACAAGGACCTGCTCCGCGAGAGGTTAAAAGTGGGAATATTTGATGGAAGCGTATTGATTGAACATAGGCCAACGATTCGAAGAGTCATATAGTGCTGCTGTACAGACTCTTGAGTACGGGATTTGGACCCACAGGCTGGAATATTGAGATCATTGTTGCACGGTTCTACATATAAAATAATCAAGATCAATAAATGCGATAGTTATCCCTCTAGATCTGCTTTCGTTGCAGTATCTTGCCAGCTGATGCTAGAAAAAGATCAACACATTGTCTCATGATTTTTGACCACATTTGCTCTGCCGCGCACGGATGGGCTTGCGGAGTGTTCACTGGCCCCCAACTGCATGAGAGTATTACTCGGGAAAGCATAATCCCTCCAATTGAAGGGAGGGGTGATCATTTTTCTAAGCTGAAGGATGCAAGATCTGGTCAATACCCAAATTGTGCATGTTCAAGCACAGATAAAAATCCTTCATAGAATCTAGCAGAGGGAATACAAATATCTCTAAACAAACCAGGACTTTTGAGAGAAACATTAATTTAGGAGTTTCCTTTCAGCTCTATTTAAACTTGTTACTTGTAATTGTTAGAACTTAGAAATGAAATAGGGACAGATTTAGAAGTCTTAATCGCAGCTATAGATAGTTATAAAACTATTATAAATTCTTTATAATTGGCTATAAGAAGAGTATATATTGTGTAGAAGAAAAGTAGGAAGTAGTACACTTGGGTGGCCATATACACGGGTTATAATAATCCTACAAGTGTATACTATAGTACCGAATGTCCAGAGGAGCTTCATGCCTCCCAGGCGGACCGACCGACCGACCGACCGAAACCTAACATGATCTGACACGGATCAGGATATCGGTTTTTGTCCTGGCGGACTTGAAATTACGACCTCCACCAAGTGCAGGTCCTCCCAGGGGTGCGTATGTTGATCGTTACTCTATTTCGCGTCTTGGTTTTGAGCTTATTTCCGGGCAATGAAAGGATATGAAGTGTGCGATCTCTTTCGCAAAAGCCAAAGGGGAAATCAAGTTTTTCACCTTATATTGTCTCGCCATAATGACGCTTTCCAGTCTCGTGATTGTTGTGGCTGGKGCCTCTGAGGGKATCGGCAAAGCAATTGCCCTACGAGCCGCTTCAGATGGAGCCAGCGTGGTGATTAATTATCTTTCTGACAACATTGGCGCCAACGCTGTAGTCTCAGAGATCGGAAGCAATCGTGCCGTTGCAGTGCAGGCGGATATATCGAAGGTGGATGAAGTTGATCGTCTTATTGACGCAACTGTGTCCCGATTCGGAAAGATCGATGTTCTTATCCCAAATGTTGCATTTGTACAATCTGTGGACATTGAGAGTCTAACTGAGGAGATATTCGATCGGTCCTTCGCTGTGAACGTGAAGGGACCTTTTTTTTCTGCAAATATATGTGTCCTTAAGACCTATACGCTTCTTCGTTATCAGCTTCTGATATTTGTTTTCTTTGTTGTTTCTTTTTCCTGTGCCTGTGCCTGTGTCTTTTCCTTTCCCCCTTTTGCTTTTCTGTTAGCTGTGTACTTTTACCTGGATTTAGTATGATGCTGATCTTATTCAAGAAAGCCATTCCTTTTATGACCACTGGCAGTAGAGTAATTTTTATTTCTACTGACCTTACAGAATCGTCTTTCATCCCCCCCCCC